GAACCCCCTCCAGACATAAGCCTGTAGAAAATGAAACCTCCCTGAGACATCAGCCAGCAGTGTCACTGAAGACTAACCGAAGCCGAAGATGCTGCCGGTCTTTGGTACGCGAAGCCCAGGCCTCTGTCAGAAAGGCACAGGGCAGTCACTGTCTCACCTTGCTATTGTGATCCTTTGAGGGGGAAGCAAGGAGAAGTAGGACTTTCTGAGCGGAATATCACAGAATGGACTGCTGTGGAATATCATACGCTGGGCTTTTAGCCTCTTGATATCTAACAGTGGTTAGTTCTTAATTTGTCAGAAATTCGTGAGGGATCTTTAGATTCTTTCCCTTTGACCAGGGATGGCCATTCTTATCTCTGAGGGCAAAAGTAAGGATTAACTGAGCAGGGGGTTAGGATAGGTGTTCATCCAGATGAAAGCAAATGCTAGAATCCAGGGCTTGATTACACAATCAGGTATCCCTGGCTTCACATTCCCATTTTTGTCCCTTGGGCAGAATAAAGACACCTGGGAAGCACTGAGTAGCTGAAATGGATGTTGTGCAAAGGGTTTGACTTGTACTTACTTCTTTTATAAACCACTGACAAAAGGCAGGGCTGATCCATTCTCGTGCATGAATACCACAGTCCATCCAGACAGCTCTTTTGTAAGCTCGAGACCTTCGACCCAGCTGAAAGGGAGAGGAGTCAGCATCATCACGCCTTCTTTGCCTTGGGATTCACTGACCAGAGCAGATCAACGGACTTTCCGTGTAATTCTTCACGATAGTTTGATTCATTGCGTGGTAACCCATAAGAAGAGAAAACGATATTTCCTATCCCCGTGGGGAAGGTCCAGGCTTGTTTATGTAGAAACACAATTTTATGTCCCTAATTACAAATCTAAGAATCAGAAAATACACAAAGAAGAGAGAATTCCTTAAAATAGGTTTGCTGCTCTATTTTAGAATGTGACTATTAAGGAAAAAGTTAAAATATGTATCTGACTGTTTATCTTCCTTTCTCCTTCCTTCCCTCCTAAGGAAGCAAACTGCTTTAAAGAAATATCTTTTTAAAAATAGATGGGCCAAATTAAACTTTATTATAGCATGAAGTGAAAATATAAAACAAAATGTTATGAAGAGTAGATTAATGTGGCAGATGGTTCTTTATAAATCCTACGACATCAGCATTATTTACAACAAGTTTCAAACCTAATAATTATCTCAACATTATCATATAGGAGACCTGGTTTTCATGAATTCATTAGTTCATTCAACTATCATCTCAGAATATTCTTTCTTATTGTGGTAAATGTAGCTAATGAAATATTAGCTATTTTAACCATTTTTATAAGTAACTTCAGTGACAATGATTACATTCACGATATTGTAAACCATCACGACTATTCATGTGAAAATATTTTTCATGCTCTTTAACAGAAACTCAGTACTCTTTATAGAATAACTCCCCATTTCTCCCTCCTCCCAGCCCCTGGTCACCACTACTAAACTGTGTTCTCTATGTATTTTCCTATTTTAGATATTCCATGTAAGTGGGATCATGCAGTACTTGTCAAGACATTCCTTTTCATGCGGTACATTGCTTGTCACTGGAGATTCAAAGACAAAAAGGCAAGAAACATATGCTCGTGGGGAAGGCAGACATGCAAATAATTAATACATCAATCAATCATTATTGTATGAATGTGGCTAGGTGCATGTTAAAAATTTTTTTTTTTAATTTTCCCCCTCTCTGAGGAGTAAGAGAAGGCATCTCAGAAGAGGGACATGTGAATTCTTGAGCAGTACTTGACCCTTGTCTGCAGGCGCGTTGGAGCTAGTGTTTCAAACACAGTAGGGAATCTGAGTATTAGAGGACTTGCTTCTAAAATAGTAAAGTATGAGGAGGTATGTCTGATACAGCTGGATCTGAAGCAGGGGACACATGGATTCTTTGGATACCCCAAAAGGAAATTGGTGTCTGATGGGGAGACTGTGTGTGTGTGTGTGTGTGTGTGTGAGAGAGAGAGAGAGAGAGAGAGAGAATTTTGGAGGGTTAGAGGAATAGAAGGTGGAGAACAGAGCTTTAAAGGAAGTTCAATATTGAGGTCATTGCTACAGTCCTGGGAGAATGGATGCTGAGATAAATTATGGCAACAGCAGTGGGAACAATCGCTTGAGGCAGATCCAAAAAATATTTAAAAGACACAATTGTTACTTGTAGTAGTAGATTTAAGGTAAAAGGTTAAAATAAAGGAGAGGAATGTAAGATGTTTCAGTTTCTGAACTGATGGGGCCATGGTAACATTCCCTGATATAAGGGAAAGTTCCCAGGATTTGGAAAGAAAGATAATTTCTGTTGAAGATATGGAGTCTGGGTAGCTTTTTGAAAATCTAGATGAGATTGTCAAGTGGGCAATGATGTCTATGTACTCCACTGGATAGAAAGAACTAGGGTGATTGTTGAAACCATGGCAGCAGCTATGTCCACCTCGGCAGGATTTGTGGCGTGGGATGAGTGCTGAGGGTCGGGTTCATGGGACCAGGTGCCATAACCCAAGGAAAGGACATAGAGTTGGTTAAAGCGGAGGTTCAACAAAATGAAGCAAAATGAGAGAAATTCTCAAGGAGTTAGATGAACACAATGGCTACAATGATGAACTCCAACATAACCTTCAATGGTAGTAAATATGGTGCAAAACTGGGCAATGTAGCCTTCTATTAAGGTCATTATAAGGCAGAGAAATCCCGATGGCAACTAACAAACCAAGCGAAATCACAAGGAAGAGGGGTCAGCAACTGAGACCCGAGGAAGCAGTCAGAGATAGAGAGAAGGAGAATCAACTTGGAATCATTGTTGATCTCGGCACAAGTAGTTTTAGAAGTGCTGTGCGGGTAAAAGTCAGGGAGTCAAGGTTGGAGTGGGAGCTGAGGAAGCAGAGGCAATGACGTTTTTGAGAAGTTTGGCTGAATAGGATGAAGGGCTCTAAAGAGCTGCAGCGGGGTTAGGAAACGGCACATACGCATTGATAGAGTCTTGCACCGGCTCATCCGAGCTAGCATGCATTCATAAGTAATTTTGAAGCCACTGGTTGTTTAAGTTGTGGGTTACCGCATTGGGATGCTAACTGCAAGGTCAGCAGTTCAAACTGTGGGTTTCCACTCCTCCGGAGAAAGAGGAGATTATCTGCTCTGTAAAAAGTTACAGTTTCAGCAACCCAAAAGACCAAATCTCTGTCCTACAAGGTTGCTATGTGTCAGAATCCACTCGATAGGAGTGGTTTTGTTAGGTTTACACAGTTTGGGTAGTTATTTAAGTGCATCAATTTACTCTGAAAATATTAGTAATATTATGGATCAAAAAGTTAAGGCTGAACTTTCCTTAAATTATCAAATACTGTAAAATATGACTATGCAAGCTCATTTTATTTCTTTTCTTCAGAAGTCACAGTAGAAAAAAATAAACATTTGGTCAAAATTTTTTATTTAGGTACTAATTTCTTACCTTTAAAACATAGAGAGACCTTCCTTCGTATGATTTTCCAATAGAGAACATCTGAATGAGGCCTGAATGGGTTTTATTCAGATGGCGCATCCAGTTTTGAATCTAAGAGCAAATGAAAGAACATATTCACGGTGGTGGGCTTTTAGAAAACAAAAGGTGAGCGAATGACAACACCAGTTCTCAGTGCTCTAAGGGCAAGCATAGAACATAGGATTTAGCAAAAACCAATTGTGTACTTTTATTTGCTTCGGGATGCTTAAGCTTACATGTTATATTATGCCTTTACCGATAGTAGCTTCATTACTTTGTATCCTTCCCTTTTTAACCTATACATTTTGCTAAATCATATAGTAATAACTTATCATTAATATCTCCATGGCACAGTTTTATAGATTATTAATGGCTGTGGTCTGGGTTTTTAAAACCAAATTTGATTTTCATCTCTACCTCTCGAGATTTAATGTAATAAGTCAGCTTAAGGAAAACCACTTAAACTACTATAATGACATAAAGTGAAATTTGCTATTGAAAAGAAGATGCTATGAAAAAGGCATTAGTTTTTGCATTTAAAGATTATTACACTGAACCATATGTCAGAGAGCATGCTCCTTGATTTTTCAGCAATGATGATAAATTTGCATTGATTCCTTTATACACACTTATCTGTCATCAGGATAAAGTATATTTGAGAGGTATGAATAAGACACTTAGATCAGTGACATTTCTGACATGAAAGCCTTCTAATGGGATAGAAAGGCACACAAATGTTCCATTGTTCCATGATGTGAAAAAGAGGGTCTGTGTTGAAAAGATATCTTGGAAAATACTCATATTGTCTTTTCTTTCTTTGTTCATTTAGTTTAATAATCAGGACACACACATACACACATATGAGTGTAAACACATATTGTTTCAAAATCACGGAAACCTTACTATCAAGATGCAATGCTATTGCTTCTTGATGTTTCCTCCATCTGGGTCTATACCCTCTGAAGGCAGTGTTTCCACCTTTCTAAGCAAAATGATCCCACCTGGACGACTGGGTAACATCATGTCTAAGGGAGAAAAGACTGAAATCGTCAAGGATGTCGTCTAGCTTTGATCCACAATCAATGCTCAAGCAGCAGTCAAGAAATCAAATGGCACGTTGCATTAGGTAAATCTACTGCACAAGACCTGTTTAAAGTGCTTAAAAAGCAAGGCAATTACTTTGAGGACTAAGGTGAGCCTGACTCAAGCCATGGTATTTTCAATTACTTCATATGCATGTGAAAGTTGGGCATTGAATAAAGAAGTAGGAAGAAAAATCGATGCATTTGAACTGTGGTCATGGCAAAGAATATTGAAAGTACAAGGGCTACCAAAAGGAACACGCAGATCTGTCTTGCAAGAAGCAGAGCCAGATGCTTCTTAAAAGGCAAGGAGGGAGGGACTTCATCTCACATCTGTTGGACAGGTTGTCAGGAGAGACCAGTCATGCTTGGTAATGTGGAGGTAGCGGTAGACCTTCAACAAGATGGGTGGACACAGTGGCTGCAACAATGAGCTCCAACATAAGGACAACCATGAGGATGGTGCAGGACTGGGCGGTGTTCTATCTTGTTGTACACAGGGTTGCTGTGGGTTGGACCAACTCGATGACGCCCAACAACAGCAGCAGCAGCCTTTCCCTGAAGAATTCTGTGCTCTTAGATTTACCCCACGTCAAAACGGCCAGTCTGTCATCTGTGGGGGACTCAAATCACATTCCGCTTCAATTTTCTTTGAGTTTGTGGAACAAGAGAAGTCCCAAAGGGTAATATCACTGCTGTAGGGTGGATGGGATATGGTTTTCCAATGAATTTTTCTTAGGACAATTCATGCTACAATTGTTATGGGGAAAAAAATACCTTGGTGCAACTTCCTTGACCTTTTTTTTAAACCAATGCAGCGTTCATCTTTCTTAAAAAACTTAATAAGTCCCTGTGGTCATTCCATATCTTTTGAGGTAATCGCTCAAGGTCATCTCTTTTTGAATTAAAAACCAAACCAAACAAAAAAACAGCCACCTTCTGAACTGACCTCTCTTACCCTGAATTTAACTCGTTCACTAGATTCTCTTGAAAAGCCCCTGTTTTGATTGAACCTGAAGATCCCAGGACAAGTTGTCTTGCGGAGAGAACTTATGCGCAGCCATCCACTGATCACAGAGGCATATGAGTCAATGGCATGGAGGTCACAACAGAGCTCCCCTGGCTTCCATAGGGAGAAGGAGACCCCATCTCCACACCAGCCCAAGGCAGATCGCCACAAGGCAGAGGACAGACATACCTCTTCTCTCCATCCTTCTTTTACTTGATTTTGACCCCAGCCATGCCTCCCACGGAACTTTTGTGCTGGATTCAATGATTCATTGCAAATGACCATGCAGAACACACAGACAATTCACATGACAGTGAAGGTTTGTTAGGGAAGTTAACAACTTACCACTCAGGATCACAAAACCATAGGAATGCTCTGGTCCACAGCAGTGCCTCTCCTCGGTCAGTAACCACGTCTCTCTATCTGGTCCTCAGTCTCTCAAACTCAGGGTCCCTTTGCCTTTGCCTGATCCCACCTACTGCTCTGCCTCAGTTTCATGGTCGATGGTTTGGACACTGCAGATCCTCTGCTCTGGTGCCTCTGGTCCCTGCTGCTCCTGCCTCTTCAGGTAGGAATTTCAAACTCGCCCTGCCTGTATCTCTTCTTCCTTGATGGTCTCAGGATTTTCTCTTCTTGCTTTTGAGATGTCTCATTCTTATACCCACAAGTCCCCTCTAATAGGGTTACACATTCTATTTGCATAGTCTCACCCTATCATTGGGTGGGCATTACGAAGACATGGATAGAAAAGCCATTCTATGAAATTTCACTTCACTGCACATATTTAGACCCTCGAACAAAATCCAGGCATGTATAAAATGGAACTGTAATAGACTTATCCTGTGTGTGTATTTAAGTTTATTTTAATTTTAAACTCCAAAGCCAAACACTGCCATCAAGTAGATTCCAACTCATAGCATTTCCGTGTACCAAGTTATTTAAAACCTTTCCATTTCTTCTAATCTCAAGCTTCTAAATATGTGTTGAGATAAGAAATATTTCATGCCTGGTGGGGTTTGGTTAAGTGCAATGTAGCTGAGAGAAAGTACTGAGAACTGAATGAAGGTTGAACATCATAGTGGGACAGGAGGAAAGTAAAAAGAAATAAAGGAAGCAATAGGAGGCAAAAGGCATTTACAGAGGTACAAATATAGTCGCATCCCCCGACTACCATGATCCCAGTTCTACCTTACAAATCTGGCTAGACCAGAGCATGTAAACTGGCACAGATAAGAGTTCTTAACACATGGAATCCAGGACAGATAAACCTCTCAGGAACAGTAATGGGAGTCAGGATACCATGAGGGTAGGGGGAAGGTGTGGGGAGAAGGGGGAGAAACAGGGAACCACATGCAATGATCAACATATTAACACCAGCCCCTGCCTACCCGGAGCCGAACAACAGAAATGTGGATAAAAGGAGACAGCAGATGGTTTAAGATATGAAAATAATAATAATAATTCATAATTTATCAGGGGTTCACAAGAGTGGGAAGGTGGGGGAGGGAGGGAAAAAAAGAAGAGCTGATATCAAGGGCTCAAGTAGAAATAAAATGTTTTGAAATTGATGATGACAACATATGTATGAATGTGTCTGATACAATTGATGTATGGATTGTTATAAGAGCTGTAAGAACCCCCAATAAAGTGATTTATTTAAAAAAGATAAATATTTAGAAATAATTTTGTAAAGAGAGAAATTGTAATGGGAACCTCACATATTCTTAAAAAAACACAACAGAACAGGAGCTTATTGATTTATATATGGCACTTCTATTTTTTCCAATTTAGAGGAAGTTGGTCAGTAAATATATGCTTTTTATTCACTTATTATTATTATTTTTTAATCATTTTATTAGGGGCTCATACAACTCATCACAATCCATACATACATCAATTGTGTAAAGCACATTTGTACATTCCTTGCCCTCATCATTTTCAAAACATTTTATCTCCATTTAAGCCATTGGCATCAGCTGCTCATTTTCTCCCCCTCCTTCCCTGCTCCCCTCTCCCTTAGGAACCCTTGATAATTTATAAATTAATACTTTGCCATATCTTACACTGCCCGACGTCTCCCTTCACCCACTTTTCTGTCTGTCAGCAACTCTCTATTAGGAGGTTGTTGCACCAGGAAGCTCTGACCTCCCCTCATGGAACTTGCAGCTCATTAGGAGAGAGATGCTTTAAGCAGTCACACAATTAAGAAGGGTAGCAAATATCACATCTATGTGCAATGGAGGCAATTATTACCCAACTACACAACAACAGCTCACTGCCATCCAGTCATTTCCAACTCATAGTGACCTTGGGCAAGTGTCCCCTAGTCTGGGAGATTAGAAATAGCTACTTTTTTGCTTAAGCAGGGATCAGGAGAATAGTAAATGATGTGTTGGTGAGGCAGGGGCTGCGGTCAGTTTTCCAAGGGGGAAAGTTACAGCACGTTTAAAGATCCTGAGGCGCTACAATTAGGTTTGGCTGTTGTTTGGTACTGTCAAGTCAGTTCTGAAGCATACTGACCCTATGTACAACAGACCAAAACACTGCTTAGTCCATCGCCAGCCTCCCAATTGTTATGTTTGAGACAATTGCTGCAGTCACAGTGTCAATCCATCTTGTCTAGGGCTCGTTCCTCTTTGCTGCTGCCCTTCTGCTTTCCCACGCATGATGTCCTGCTCCAGCGACTGGTCTCTCCTGATAACACGTCCAAAGAACCTGAAAGGAAGTCTCACCATCTTTGCTTCTAAGGAGCCTTCTGGCTGTTCTTCCCAGAGAAATCCGGGTTCTTTCGGCAGTCCATGGTATTTTCAATATTATTCTCTAGCACTATATTTCTAACGCATTGATTTTTGATTCAGTGTCCAACTTTTACATGCAGATGAGGCTATTGAAAATACCACGGCTTCGGTCAGAAGCACTATAGTCCTTAAAATGACCTTCTTGCTCTACAACACTTTAAAGAGTCTTGTGCAACAGATTTACCCAATGCAATGCATCATTTGATCAACTGACTGCTGCTCCCATTCCATGAACATTGATTATGGATCCAAGCAAGATAAAAATCCTCGACAACTTAAATCTTTTCTCCTTTTTTCAGGATAGTTGGGCCAGTTGTGAAGGTTTTGATTTTGTTTACACTGATCTGCAATCCATATCGAAGGCTGTCACCCTTGATCTTCATCAGCAAATAATTCCAAGTTCAACTTACTTTCAGCAAGCAAGGTGGTATTTTCTACACATGGCAGGTTGCTATAAGCCTTCTTCCAATCCTGATGCCACTTAATAATAAAATCCAAATCCAAAGGAGAGAATAGTATCAGAGCTTACATTGTGAACACCAGGTTTACAGACTACTATGGACGATAGCAGAAGCCCAAAGTCCATTTGCAGGGTGCACATATGGATTCAGCTTCCAGTGGAACCCCTCTGATCAGAGACCAGGGATAGGAATAGCTTTGCTGTCATGCACAGTGCATTAAAAAGTGGGCTATGGCAGCTGCAATTAGGTTACAAATTTTCAGGAGCTTGGGGGCTCATCAGAAGAGGACATGGAAGAGAACTAGGAAAAAGAGGCTTATAAGAGATCAAAAGTACAAAAACTGAATAAAATTAAACTGCCTTGTGGGCAGGGATCCCTAAAAAAAAAAAAATCAACATTTTATCATATAATCTTCCCTTTGGCCCACTTTAAATTTGTTTTAGTTTTAAAATATTTTCTGCTTTCTTTTCAATTGAGGTTTTTCTGTTTTACTTTGTTATTGTTGTTGTTTTTGTATGTTATTCTGTATATGAAATCCAGGATAGGTAAATCTATAGGGACAGTAACTAGATTCATGGCTTCTTGGGGGTATGACAGGAGAAATTGGGGGGAAATGGAGAGCTAATAACAATGAGTACAAGAAAGAAGATAAATTTCTAAAATTGATTGTGGTGATGATTGTACAACTTTTTAATACAATTGAACTTGAATTGTATGATTTGTGAGTTACATGCTAATATAACTATGTGTGGCTCTTTCCCTGGACTCTCAATTTTATTTTATTAGTTTATGTATCTAATGTTACACCAAGACCAGACTGTTTTGATTACAGTAGCTGCATCATATGTTTTAAAATGTTTTTAAAATATGAGTGTTTCTACCATCTTACTTTCTTTTGCATTATTTTAACTATTTGGGCTTCTTGCCATTCTATAGAAAAGTTTTTCTATTTTTGTAAAGAAAGTTGTTGGAATTTTGGTTAAGATTGCATTGAATCTATACATCCCATTGGGTAGTATCGACATCTTAACAATCTAAACATCTTAACAATCTTTCAATCCATGAACATGTTTCCACTTACTTATGTATTCTTTAGCTTCTTTCAGCAGTATTTTATATTCCCGTTATAGAAATTCTTCTTGTTAGATTTATCCCTAGGTATTTTCAACTCTTAGATACTCGTGTGAATGGGATTGCCTCTCTAATATCCTTGTTATCTTTCCCATTGTTGGTGTATAGAAACCAAACTGATTTTATTTGATGATAGGGTACCCAGAAATTCGCCGACATTCTTCAATTAGCACTAGGAATTTTCTTGTTGTTTCCATGGCTTTTTGTGACGGTGTTTATGACTGGAATGACAGGAACTTTATCACATCCATTCATTTCATTTCTCATGCCCTCTATAGTGGTGGGCAAAGTAGGTGGAATTAAAATTATTTTTCTACTTCTTATATAGCAGTACACAGCTTAATGGAAGAAGTGGTTGAACATAGGTGCTTAGGCACCTAGTGTTGTCTCTGTATGTCCCTCCCAGTCCCCACACTTAAACGACAACTATGCGCTTGTGAATAAGCAACAAAAGCTCTGATTACATACTTCTTCCAAGGAATGATAGACTTCATAATTATGTCCAGGAACAGATCTTCGATTTCTGTGGGTCTGCAAGCTGCCGCTCCTTTCCAGTGCTTTCTGAAGATCTTCTATGAGGACCCTGGATATGAAATGATAAACATACTGAAAAGTAATTTGAGATAATATAAAAATCTCAAATGTTGGAGAAAAAAATTTAAGTGTTAAATAAATGTTGTACCGAGTTTAAACTGTGAACTTATTATAAGCCATATGTCCCCAAATTGTAATGCTAGTAGTAATAGTTACCATCAGTGGGGCATTTACAACAAAAGAATGATATATAAAAGCACTTACATTTACTCATTTTGCTATGTGCCAGGCATAGTTTTAGGCATTTACATATATGCCCTTAGTTTCTATTCTGATTTATATTTTAAAAGTGGGGAAACTGAGCCTCAAGAGGGATAAGAACTTGCTGTGGGCATCCCACTAGCAAATGGCAGTCAGAATGTGAACTCAGAACGTGACCCCGACTTTGAGACTGTCCAATGTGGTGATGTAATAAGTACTGCCCTCCTGTCTCCACAACCTCCTCTGCTGCTGCTTCTGTTGGCTCCTCTCTATAATCACTGAAGGCTATTCTCACGGTTTTACCAGCACACCCAGCTCAAGACTCTGGGAGAAAAGGGAAAGGAGGGAAAATCTACAGTTTTCAAGAGGAAACTGGAGAAATACCCAAAATTGGAAAACGACATTTAGGTACTCGTCAATATCAAGGATTTCAAGAGAAGTTCAACTAATCAAAGCCAACGTGTTTGGAGGAAATTGAAGTCTGAGAGCAAAGTGTGGGATTCCAATGTTTGGAACCAGTTCCAGACAGACTCATTAGCATTTCTGATGTTATTTCTACTTTGCCTAAAAACCTATATTCCCAATATTGACCTACTATAACTAGATTTGCTATGAAGCAACAAGGCACTTCTATCATTTGGAATATTTATATACATTTTTCAAAACCCTCAAAAGATTTCCTGGGTCCAGCAGTAAAAAGCTTTGCTTTCTTACTTTATCTCCCCTCAAACTCTGTTGCTTAAAGGCTTACGTGTTCTTAAAAGAACATGTAAGGGTTCCTGGTGGTGCTGTGGATTAAGCATTGGCTGCCTTCTAAAAGACTGGTGGTTCAAAACCACTGGCAACTCACGGAGAACAATGAAGTTGTCTACTCCCATAAAGATGTGTAGTCTTGGGAATCCTATATAGGGCAGCTATGAGTCAGAATTGACTTGATGGCAGTGGGTTTCTGTGATAACAGTGCCCATAAAGGCATCCTTTAATGCCCTGAAGGCTTGTCTATGTTTTGTTGGTGGTGGTGTCCTTGAGTGGATTCTGGCCTCACAGCAACCCTATGTTCAACAGAAAAACACGGCCCGGTCTGCCCATCCTCACAACCGTTCTTATGTCGGAACCGTTGTTGCAGCCACAGTGCAAAGCCTCTCGTCAGGGCCTTCCTCTTTTTCACGGCCCTTTCAAGGCAGGATGGCCTTTTCCAGGGAAGCTCTCTCTTGAGAATGTGTCCAAAGTAAATGAAACAGTGTGACCAGTGTTCTGAGACACTGTACTGACTTGTTCTTTTGGCAGTGCATGGCACTTTGCTAGCACCGTAATTCTAATACATCTATTCTTCTCTGGTCTTCCTAATTTGATGGCCATCTTTCACATGTGTATAGGGTGCTTGAAAATGCCATGTTTTGGGTCAAGCACCCCTTTGTTCTCAAGGTAACATCTTTGACTTTAAATACTTTAACGAGGTCTTGAGCATCTGATTACCCAATGCAGTGTGCTGTTGGATCGCTTGACTGCTGCTTCCACGAGCGCTGATTATGGATCCAAGCAAAGTGAAATTCTTGACTACTTCAATCTCTTCTCTGTTTATCATGATGTTACCTTTTGGTCCAGTTGTGAGGATTTTTGTTTTCTTCACATTGAGTTGCAATCCATATGGAAGGCTAAAATCCTTGATCTGTATCCGCAGGTGTTTCAAATCCTCTTCACTTTCAGGAAGCAAAATTATATCATCTGCAGATCTCAGGTTGTTGATAAGCCTTCCTCTGATCCTGATACTTCCTTCTTTTTCATTATTTGCTCAGCATCCAGATTGAATAAGTATGGTGAGAGGATGCAACCCTGTCACACACCTTTCCTGATTTTAAACCATCCCATGTTCTGTTTACACAACTGCTTTTTAATCCACGTGCAGGTTTCACACGAGCACAACGAAGTGTTCTGAAATTCCTATTTTTCTCACAGTTATCCACAGTTTGTTATGGTCTACACAGTTGAATGCCATTGATAGTCAATAAAACACAAGTAAATATCTTTCTGGTAGTCTGGTATTTAAAAAAGAAATATCTTTCTTTTTGAGTCAAGAAGATCCATCTGGCACTAGCAATGATATCCCTTGCTTCATTCCCTCTTCTGAATCAGGCCTGGATCCCTGGTAGCTCCCTGTCAGTGCACTGTTGCAACTGTTGTTGGATGATCTTCAGCAAAATTTTACTTGCCTGTGATTCAATGACATTGTTCTATAGTTCGAGTACTACAGGTGACTGCTGAGTCACCTTTCTTTGGAATGGGTGAAAATACGAATCTTTTGCAATCAGTTGGCCAAGAAGCTGGTTTCCAAATTTGTAGGGACAGATGAGTGAGTGCTTCCAGTGCTCAGCTTGCTGAAGCATTGCAATGGGTATTCTATCAATTCCCGGAGTCTCGTTTTTTGGCTAATACATTCAGTGAATGTATACATTTGGCTAATACATTCTTGCTCATGTGCTACTCTTGAAATGGTGGAGTGTCAATAGTTCTTTTTGGCATAGTGATTCTTTCCATTTTTCCATAGTTTGTCTTTCCATCTTCTTTTGAGGCTTCTGCATTCTTCAGTATTTTGCCGATAGAATCTTTTAATTTTGTAAACCAGTGACTGAATTCTTTCTTTAGTTCTTTCAGTTCAAAATACGCTGAGTGTGTTCCTCCTTTGGGGTTTTCTAACTTTAGCTCTTTGCACATTTTAATATTTTATTTTGTCTTCTTTCATTGTTCTCTAAAATTTCTGTTTAGCTCTTTTAATTCATTATCTCTTCCATGTGCCTTAGCTACTTTGCTATCAAGAGAAAATTCCAGTGAACATCCTGACAGCCACTTTTATATTTTCTTTTCCTGTCTTTGTGATGACCTTTTGCTTTTATTTCATGTATGATGTTCTTAATGTCATCCCATAAGCTTCTCAGGTCTTCTGTCATGAATGTTCAATGAGTCAAATCTGTTCTTGATATGGTCTCAAAATTCAGGTGGACTATACACAAGGTCATCTTTTGGCTCTCATGGAATTTTAAAAGTTGAACTCAAGCTGAACCTCAAGCTGAACTTACAAATAAGCAATTGGTAGTCTGTTCCACAGTCAGCCCTTGGCCTGGTTTTAGCTGCAGGTACAGAGTGTCTTCATCACTGCTCCCCACAGATGTAGTCAATTTGACTTCTGTGCACTCCATCTGGAGAATCCATGTGCATAGTTTGTGTTATCAAAAACATATTTTCAACCTGAGGGGCTCATTTTCTGATACACTTTCTGATAGTGCTCTGATGCTATTTTTGAGGTCTTCAGTATTTGAATTTCCTCCTGCTGTCCATAGGCTTTTAATGGCTAATTTCCCTGGAGTGGACAGCCTAGTCCTTTGTGGTCCTTTCTTAGTCTGGAGGCTTTGCTGAAACCTGTTCACATTGGGTGACCCTGCAGATATTTGCAATAGTAGTGACGTCATTTCTAGCATCATAGCAGCATTCACGTCTTCACTGAGTGGAAAACTGACAGATAAGTGGTAGATTCAAATCCCAAGATCACTTACATTAAAAAATATATTTTGAATCACTTTTGGTCCATGAGAGACGTAGATTTTCTTAGAGTGGTGCTGGGTGTGGGACAATTCTTTTGATTGATCCTAGAGCCCACCAACAAACCCTATGAGCAATGGAGCTGATTCTGATACATAGAGACCCTATATGGGATTTTTGAGACCATAAATCTTTATGGGAGCAGATAGCCTTTCATCTTTCTCTCAAGGACCAGCTAGTGGTTTTGAACAGCTAATCCTGTGATTAGCAGCACAGTGCCTAACCCACAGCACTAGCAGGGTTTGATCTTCTGCTTACTGTTCTTCACCCTTCAAATTTTGACTTTCAAACTGGACGTCTTTTAGAAATAAAGAAAGATAGGATGTGTAAAATTGGTAAAATGAGTTGGTAGCTGCCTCCCATGGCTCAAACTAAGGGTGGAGCTTTCGGTGGACAGTCTGAGTAGCTTAGTTATCTGTGCTTTTCTTTTCCTCAAGGAAATAAGCTATGTGTCGACACTTGAATGAGTTTAGAACTCTAGGATACGGAAAGTGCGACTTTGCTCTGTCTTAAGAACCAAGTGAACCTTGTAAACCTCTAAGTGTCCTTGTGCCATCATCGGATCAGAAAGGGTCAAGAAAAATGTAAGTTTGCTTAGGGTTGAGATCATTATAAACTGTCAACATATTTGAGTTACTAAAGATAATTATCATTATATTTCCCTAACCACTACAATCTGTACATTTCTTCTTGTTGCTTGAAAGCAAACAAAGCAATACGTTTGTCAAAGCCAGCGATCTACACAAAGGTCTCCGGCGTTTCCAGTTTAAAGTTGAAATATATAAACACCAAAATGAAGTGTTCAAAGCTTTAAATCATTTTAGAATGTTTTGAGAGTTGAGCTGTAGTGTATTGGTTTGGACCCAAACTCCCAAACCCACTGCCACCAACCCAACCCTGACTCATAGCATCCCTAGAGAAAAGGGGAGAGCTGCCTCACGGGCCTTCAAGCAGAAAGCCTCATTTTTCTCCCGAGGGGTGGCTGCTGGTCTTCAACTTCTGACCTTCTGGTTGGCAGCCAACGGGTAACCCACAAGCTACAAACCAGGAAATACTTGGGCTACCAGAAGCTAGGAAAGAAGCATGGGACAATTCTACCGTAAAGCGTAGAAGAAATCATCAGGGCCAATGCTCTGATCTTGGAATCCCAGCCTTCAAAACTTGTACACAATACTTTTCTGTTCCTACAAGCCACTCACGCATCCTCTTCCCTTAGCTTGAGTTGTCCCGTGGCCTGTGAGGTTCTCAGGTCTCATCTTTTGTCAGCGAGTGGTCTGCTTCCTGCCCCAGTGCGCTCATGATTTTCTAGGGTTTTCCAGGCTGCTCTCCTTCCTTCACACATTTAAACCATCAGGCAGCAGTAACAAAATCTGTGTTTCCATTGATCACTTTATACTAATCGTGTAATGCTGTTTCAATATTATCGCCTCCTCTGCTCATTCAGAAGCAAATCAAAGGTAGAGATTGTGTTTTATTCACCTCAGTGTTCTCAGTACCTTAAACCCAGTCTCAGGAGGTCAATCAACAAATGAAATCAGCTATCACTTATATTTGGATACGTACACATGAATTTTATAGCAAGTTAAAAGAAATGCTTACTTGTACTGGATGTTGGCTTGCTGCAAGAAGGCTAACAGTGCTTGGGAAGCATTTTGTGGGATATGGACATCAGTAACCGTGCCCTCTGATATGTAGGAGATACTGCTGGGCTGCCACAGGTCCACCTGTAGTGCAGGAACCAACCTATAAATCAAATTCCATCTAGGTGGGGAAAAATCCATGTCATAATGTCAAACATGCTATCTTATTTGCATACAGTAACATCAGACACATGTGGGGTTTAGATTCAGTGCTTGCACCTTCAGGTTAAAGTTCCTATTTGATCTTGAATTTGGCTTCCATATCGCATCAAATCTATTTGATTATAAATACACGTAATTGTTTCAAGACCAGTACATGAAAGCCACATGTTAAAAAGGGGATACTTTCATTTTAAGGATAACATAAATATTATTTTAAAACAAATATAGGCAAGAAATTCAGAAAGAGAAGGATATAGGTCAGTCTTCATCCTGCCACACAAGCACACTGTGATTTGGCAATTTCAAAGGGAACATTATAGGTGGGCTTTCTTCGCACCCAGCATAGGCCTTTTTCTAATTCCCAGTCCTCACCTGTCACATGACTAGAAAGCCCCCCTTGAGAGTTCGGAGAGACTTTCATAGCTCTTATAGCACATTGAGCTTCATTTGCTAGGTAACTTCCTCTTTCTTTGTCCCCTTTGTCCACCACGCCATTCCAAGCGCATACGACCCCTACTAGCAATGCTACTTTGTTGCATGGATGCAGATCTCATGGCGTAATCGACTGCAGGCCGCCGCGCCGTGTATCGTATTTTACAGGAACGCAGGAGCCATATTTGCTCTGTTTCTTGTGGTATCCCTAGTGCCCTGCTCAATGCTCATTGAAAAGCAACTGGATTCAGATGGGAGGGAGGAGTACCCTCCCTGTCTTTTAATTAGCACAGCCTGCCTTTCAAGCGCAGTAGTCCTGTGGATTGTCTCAGTCTTCTCCTGTGTGCTCTGGGACCTGCTTTGACTTGCGGTTCCAGCCTTAGTCCTGATGCAGAGCCATGAACTCTAGTCAGTACCTCCTTTATCTTCACTTAGGGGGTCAGTGTCTGCATGCTGTTAGGGAACTCTAGAAGACCAAAACTCCTTAATGACTCATGGAAACAAACCTCTAATGGTACAGTCTAATCTGTTAGAGAGTAGAGAGACCTTTATTTGGGGGACAAAGAGGTTACCTGCTTTCTTCGAAGCAGCTGACTGCTCCAGTAACTCCCAGGGCAAATCGGACTCAGTGAATGTGCCCGGCCAGCAATCACAGACAACCTGAGGCTGGAAGGAGCTGCAAGAGGTCCTTTGATCCATCTGGCCGCCCTTGGGCAAGGATATCTCTAGACTGCACCGCCTGTCCCCGATAAAGGAGTCTAAACCACCTCTTTTACGTCTCCCTCAAGGAGGGCTGACCCTGTTCTAATTCAAGTCTTATCCCTACTGAAGCCAGTGTGTCAGCCATTGTTTTTCTTAGATTCTTACACTGCAGCACAGTTCCATTTATTTCTGGTTTTGCTAATCAGAGGGAAATGGCAAGCTTCTTGTCTTTGTAAGTAAAGCTTGTTGGCATCTTTCATTTCTCTTTCTATGATAGTTTGCTAACCCTTGAATCATTTTTGGGACTTGCATCTAATCCCTCAAATGTAAGAGATACAGAATTTTAATATGAAGGCTAACAATCTGTTTGTCTTCCCTTAATGCCACTGGAGATGAGGAAACTACCGCATTCAGAAGGTAAAAAAATCACAGCACCAGAAATATTCTGAAAGACCACTCTAGAGACGAGGGTCTGAGGAAGCGGAATCTCCATCCACCAACGAGAGTGGATTCTCCACAGGAAAGTTCCCCGATGTGTCCTGTCCTACGGTGTGGCCTGGACCAGTGTTCTGGGAAGCTGGCTTATCAGTCTGGCGGACAACCACCAAAAAAGACTGCCAAATTCGGAATTGTATTTTGTGGTGACATTAGGAAATAATGTTAAAAGGAACAGACAGTTTTCCTCTGGTAATATTTTGGAGGGATGGGTGCTTGGATGAATAATCTGGGTATTCCCCAGATTACTCCAGGTGCCAGGCAACTGTTTACAAAGGTAAAGCAAAAACCATTGCTACTCAGGTTCTAGCTCATTCGGTTCCACAATGGGTTTATTCCAAATAAATATGTTTAAATATGTCTGTGTGATTAGTGGATGGCTGCAAGTAAGTTTTCTCAGTGAGTCTTATGAGAGTATCTTATAAAACAAACCAACAAGGATTCAATCTGTGCCATGGAAAGAAACAATTTTAAGGTTAGAGCTAAGATAAAATTTGTAACACGTTCCAGTGGATACCTTCGCAAATCAATGGAGCTTGGTAACAAGTTTATAGGAATGCTGCTTCCCATAAAGCAAAATTTTTAGATGAATCATGTACTTTTAGATGAATCAAAATTTTTAGATGAATCAAGGAAGGTCAGGAAGACCTCCAAGATGAGTTGCAAGAGAAGACTGTCAACCTCCACAAATCAAGAGAGTGTGATTAAATTACAAAAATGAAGAACGGGAACCACGATGGAATTATTACCATTGATGTGATTGCGACTGAAGTTGGTATCACACAGGTTTTGGCCAAAAGCACATGAAAATCAGCTAACTTAAAGAACTGATGTTTCTATTAGCCTTTTAAGCAAGATTGAAGCTAATGAAGATGGATTTCTGGCATAAATTGTAGCGGGGGACAAATCTTGGATTTACCAAGATGATCTAGAGAGCAAGGGCCAAACAAAACTACACCTTCCTGAAGGCTTTGCTGGACCAGTTAAATGCAAAGCAGAGAGGTCAGCTCAGAGGGTTAGGATGACTGTTTTTAGAGCTCTCAAAGGGGTGATCTGGGATAATTTTCTAGGACACAGCATGATAACAATAAGCTTATTAGAAACATTTTAAAGAAAACTTGAATAATACCTCAGAGAGAGAAAAGTCAGGGAAGTTGAACAGAGGCATCTCTTTTCTATCACAACAACGTACCTGCGCAGGTGCTGTGCATTACTTTATGTGCCTCTTCCAGTCACCTTCCTAACTCCCACCTTTCCCTGCATGGGTCTGGTAAGAAGGCGAGGGAAGATCCTGATTGGAATTACTTGTGAGTAACTGTGAACAGAATTCCCTGGACCACCATCCTGCCATGTATAAAAGGAGCCCTCTGAGAAGCAGGAGGAGGGATCACATTACCAGCACGAGCCAGGAGTGGAATGCATCCACATGACCAGTGGTTTTCAACCTTCAAATGACCTTTTCCCAGGGGTTGCCTAAGACCACCGGAAAGCACATAAATCTTTCACAATATCTAATTACATGTTGTTTGTGTGATGAATCACTATGCTTTAATTATGTTTAATTTGTAATAATGAAAATATATCCGGCATATCAGATATTTACATTATAATTCATAACATTAGCAAAATTATATTTATGAAGTAGCAACAAAAATAATTTTATGGTTGGGGGTCACCACAACATGAGAAAATGTATTAAAGGGCCACGGCATTAGGAAGGTTGAGAACCACTGCTCTAGACCCAAGATCCATGTGCAGTGAACCTCCTGGATCCTGAAGAGCAGCAGCAGAGCCAGGAGCCAGAGCATGCGAAGCAGAGGTGGACTTTGCAGACCACGGAGCAAGAACAGCTGAGTGCTTCTGTGCCAGAGGCTGAGTAGCAGTTTGGGAGCCTCTGGACACTGAACTGGGGAAGCTGGGCTGCTGACTCATGGAAATGACACTGAGTAGTGGCTTTGGGCTGAGGCTTACTGGAGTGGCGTGCCTTTAGGCACTAATACAGTGATCTGGGCTTGCTGACCCGTGGAGCTTGAGCTGAATGCCTTTGGGTTGGGGCTCCCAGCAGAGTGGCATGCCCCTTTGCGTAGCTATTAGCAGTTCTGAAAGAACTTTGTTACATGTCCTGATAAACAGCTCCGCCCTGAGCATTTCTCGCTGATATTATAACCTGTTAACTTCCATAAAAAGCCTTTTAGTCATGAGTTTTATCTGGGGGTTCTTTGTAACCATTGCAATGGCTATTAGATCCTAATGTTAAACAGAGAATATTTAATTAAGACAACACAGCCTGGTCATACTTTGAGGGTAGCAAGGGCTTACTTAATGGAAATTTCATTGGGAAAAGTTGTGCCATCCACACGACAGTCCTGATGCTGCCTCTTCAGAGGCCCTTTTGTTCCCCAAACCCAAAGCACATTAAAAAGGAACACAACGGATGCCCAAACTGCCGTTTGATGACACATAGCTCAAGGGGCACAGCATTCTTTGGGGGCAAGAGTAGAAAGGTAGAAGCGGTGCCTTCAACGGTGTACAGACGTGCAGGAAGCATAGGCAAACATGTCAAGAGACAAATAGCTTCACATCTTGAATATTTTGTTTAGTAAAGATTTCTCTGATCTTGGAGCAATATGGTTGTTTTTCCTTACCTGCACTTATCTACTCATCAGTCACCATTGACTTGATTCCAATTCATAGCAATCCCACGTGTGTCCGAGTAAAACTTTCCTCCACAGGATTTCCAACTACCGACCATGGAGTTTCTGGGTCGACTCAGGGGTCCAAGCTTTTCTTAGTAGCTGGTCACATAAACCACTTGCACCATCTAGGAACCCCTCACAACATGATGAGGAACAACAGATGTTCAGATCTATTTAAGAGTTTGAGACAGTTTAGGGTCATGGCTAACAGTATGCACTTAAAAATCAGCTGGACCTGGGTTGGAATTCTAGCTCTGTAAAGCATCTACTGTGATTTTGGATGAACCTTTAATGTTTCTGAGTACCAGTTTCCTCATCTATACTCTGAAGATGCATACCAAATCTATGTTACAGTATTTTCTGTGAGGTTATTAGGAATAAATGGAAATAAGACACACGCTTTTAAATTATGGTGCTGGTAAGAATGTTGACAGTACCACGGACTGTCAGAAGAGCAGAAATATCTGTGTTGGAAGAAGTACAATCAAAATGCTATTTAGAAGCAAGGATGGAGAGCCTCAATCTCACATACTTTGGACATGTTCTAAAGAGAGACCAGTCCCTGGAAAAGGCCATAGTGGCTGGTAAGGTAGAAGG